ATGGAATTTTTGTATTGATTATCCAATTATTAATCTTTATAGAAGCTATTCCAACACTGCACATAATGAGTAATTCATCACATTATATTAGGTGCCATGGAAGCTGCATTCCATATAAAGGGCCATTAAGTTTCTTGTAATTGCCCATTACTGGAGCTTTCGTTAGTTCTAAATCAAATCAGCAGGACCGGCATGTTTGCGCTCTAATTGACTTTATGTAATAACCGCACGCCCCTGGTGATTACCAAAATGAGCGGTCTGGCTGGATTACCACGGTCCCAAAGACCACTTCTCAGCCTGAGGTGAGCGGCCATTTCCAACGGTACCTGAAGGGACAGGTACAAGTGATCACCTGAACATGGGAGGGGTGCATGGGGGAGGACCCGCGACCACACTGGGGCCAGGGCTGCGTCCACCCTCAGGGCTGCTGTCTGGGCCAGAGCCAAGTGCTCCCAAACCTCCCAGACAGAACCCAAGCCTGCACACGCATCCTGTCCTTCAGAGGCTTCCCACCGTATTAGGCAGCGTTTTCTACAAGGAGCGGAGACGCTAGCCGAGACACAGGACAGATCGCCGTTAAAACTCAGCTCCTGTCCTACTCCTCTGAAAAGTCCTTCCCGAAACACTGTCTAGGCTCTCAGACTCCTAGCGCGTGGGTGTTACTCACTGGCAACCATCAGCTGCTATCTGGCAGCATGGCTTTGTCTTCTTGAATTGTTAAATTCTGAATGTTGTTAGCTGCTTAACCTGTCTGCCCATTCCCCTCTGATTTTTCGAGGGGCCAGAGAACGGATGTGCGAGTGTGTCCGGACAGCCCTGTGATGCCAGGACACGGTAAGGAATCTGCAAATACTGGTTGTTACGTCCTCTTTTGAAAGTAGAGTTAATCCTTTGCATGAGTTTCAAAAAGACTGAGCAAGAGGCAAGTAACAGCCGAAGCTGCAGGCTTCTTGGCATTACTGCTCAGGCTGGGGAGAAATCAGTGCCGTACCAACGGACAGTGTCTGTGGGATTTCTTCCTTTCCATGGGGCTACGAGCCGTCCATTTGGAAAATCTCGCGTTAACTCTCTCTCTGTTCAACTAAATTTGAAGAAGCCTTAAAATATGTCCTCAAGGGGTGCCTGGGAGGTTCAGTTGGTTGAGCGTCCGACCCTTGGTTTTGGCTCAGGTCGTGATGCCAGGGTCGTGGGATGGAGCCCCATGTCAGGCTCTGCGCTCAGCAGGGAGTCTGCCTGAGATTCTCCCTCCCCCCGCCCCTCACCCTCACTCACATGTGCATGCGCACGCGTGCTCTCTCTCAAATAAACACATAAATAAAAATTAAGAAAATGTCCTCAAAAGAAGGCAGTATGTGGTGGGCAAGCTACTTAGAAGTATTTGTTCACAACAGGTGGTAATTCAGACTGAAGACAAGGGGCTGCTGACTTCCCAGCGAAGCAGTGTCCCAGCTTTGCCGAGCTCTTTCTCACACTGAGGTGAGAATATCTGTGGCCATTCCCCAACAGAGAGAGCTACAGACCACCCCGGACGACGGGAATGGGGTCCCCGGCCACAGTCCGGGGCTAGAGGCCCGAGGCCAGCCTGGTACCGCAACGCCAGGATGCATGCCTTGCCTACAAGCTGCCGGAGGCCTGGGGACACTTCTGAGCACACAGCACAATTAGACGTTTCATCAAAATGCTGAGCTCAAGAAGCCCTGGTCAAGTGGACGTCACTGATGGAACATGGACCGAAGGTGCTTTAAGAATCCCCCAAGCATCTATAAAGACGCTCCCGGTGCCCAGGGCCACCATCCGCAGGGATGAGCAGGTATTTCCAAACCCACAGCCCTGCTCCACGCAGCCGGTGACACTGAAGGGCCTGGGAAGAAACCACCCAGAGGGTCGTGCATTTTTAAGCCCTCCTCACCTTCCCGTCATTGAATGAACGTGCTGGAAGCCGCCTGCTGAGCAAGGCTCACACCCGGGGCCCAGCAACTCCCAGGGCAGAGGGGCCTCTTCCCAGCTCTAGTAGCCGCCTGGGGCTCCCCAACCCCAGGCTCGGACGAGCTAGCAAGGCAGCAGCTTACGGTGGGCGGTGGACACGTCGTGGGCCAGAGCTCCCCGACCCGGCTGCCCACCTGGCCTTGAAAACAGAAACAGGAAGCAGAACAGGGGAGGAAGCGGCCGGCCACGGAAGGGCCGATTCTGGTAAAAGGCTCGCTTCAAAGCCCAGGTCAAAGCTCACCCCAGGGAGCATGCCACGCCTCCGGAGAAACCCTTGTCAAAGTAATCAATCACTAGTTTCCATCTGCACGTCCCTGCCCTGCTGCACTATCGGGACAGGAAGCTGCAGGATGGAAAACTGGCACTTCGTCCCCTGGAAACCACCGTTTCCATCTCCGCGAGTGACAGAGCATCAACACTGCCGTGAACGGGTGATGAGAGATAAGGACCAGGGGAGTGGAGGGTGGGCGCGGACACGCTGCACACTTTCCAGCATTTGGACAAAGTTTGCAAGGACAGTCCGACCTGAGTTTTCCATTCTCTACATCCAGAGAAACACCCAATGAACAGACCTTGACACACATTCTTTGAGCTCTTTTCTGAAATGAAAGTGTGTAGCAAATGCGGGCACACCACCCCCCAGCCCCGCCACGGACATGCTGTCCTGGGCTTGCTTCTTCCAGTGTGGCCACAGACACCCCCCTGGAGCTGGAGCAAACATGGGTGACGGACAGGCCGCGGCCCAGCGCTGCCGCCTCCCTCCCCCGCGCCCTCCCTCTGTCCACCACCCTTTCTCTGTGCAGCCATCTGCCAAGAGGAAATAACTTCGCTGTGCTGGGAGTCTGGGAATCCCAGAAAACATCTTAAATCCACAAAAATAATTGAAGTTCGCTTCTACTGTGCCGCTCAGCTCCATTCTGATTTTTATTACAATGTCAACAAGAGTTTAATTTGTTTTAAAGTTTAGGTTCTTAAATCTGAGTGATATACGGAGTTTACAGCTTGCTGGCAACAGCTACTGTGGAAAAAAAGGGAAAGTGCATATAAAGGCGATTCTAAGTTTGACATTGTGAAGGCAGGGAGCGATGCCAAAAGCAGCTAGCAGCCCGGCTTTCCCCACCAGGGACGGCAGCCACGTCGTGGACCAGGGGCACACTCCCCATCACCAACCTGGCCCGGGCACAGCAAGTAAGAGGAAATGTCCTAAAATGCAGTTTCTCGAGCGAAACCCTCTCAGGTGTCAGGTAGGTCACAAACGGCGCCACCGTCTTATCTGGGGTCCTTTCAGGGAACCAGTTCCAGCAAAAAGCCCTGAGTGGGGCCGCTGGGGAAGAAAGGCCCTGCCCCACCCGGAGGTCGTGCGCTTCTGCTGCCCAGAGGGTGCAGTACTGACAGCTCAGAACTGCCCGACCTCAAACCCGTTCTGGCGTGGACGATCGGCTGAGAGGCTCCCCTGGCTTTCCAGCCTCGCCGTTGCTGGACCAGAGCCGTCAGCCCTGTTAGAACTGTCTGCAGAGACACACAGGACCGCACACCTGCAAACCAGACTGCCTTATGGGCACAGAGGACAGCGGGGCTGACAAGGCCGTCCCCCCAGGCTGAAGGGCGCAGCCCACCTGCGGGCCCCACCTCGGCTGTGGGCCCCGCTGCCTGCTTGCCCTGACCGGACGAGGCCCAGGTGCCGGCAGAGCTTCCCCACATCTGCAGCACCTTCCCACTTCCCTCCCGCCATGGGCTCGGCCGGAGCCAGACCTCGGGCAAATCACAGGCGTTTCTGGATGTGGCTGAGGCCGTGAGCTGCCACTGTCCTCCAGGCCCACTTCCTGCCCTATCTAAAATAACAGCAGCTGTGGGGGCCTGATAGGGCCGAGTCCTGGGGAAGCCTGCACCCTTGGGTGGGAGAGAGGACGGCCAGGGGGCTGATAAGGCCGCCCCCAGGCCCCCAGGCCCGATGACCGCATCCTGCACTGTCTGCCCGCTTCAGAACAAAAGAAAACCAGCCGCTGGCTCGGGGAGCGGCAGCCTGCACTCTGGGAGGGGGTGGTCTGGCTGACTCGGCCTATTGTGCAGAGTATCAGGCTCTGATTAGCTGGGGTCCCCTGGGCCAGATAAGGGCGGATGTTTCAGAAGGGAATAGACTTTCTTTGTTCTTTACTGTGTGCAAGTGTCCACGTAATAATCTGGAAGGAAGGAAGAACACTGCTTCAAAATTGAAGCTGAAGAAAGGTAAAAGGACTCAAAGCTCCACGTGCCCAACTGGCATGAAAAGTGACAGAGAACCCGCATCGCCGATGGCCGGGAAACGTGGACCCCACCACGTGGCCACAGGCGGACAGGTAGTGAAACAGGAGATAATGCAGAAGCACACGTATTTTCATTCCCTGAGAGAAATTCCACCGTCAGCTCTGTGTTCGTGCCATAGAAACACAGAATTGGAATTTTGTCCTCACGCTCCTTAGGAAAGGAGTCCGAGGGCTGTACGCGTTCCACAGAGGAAAACTCCGCAGGACACACACAAGCCTCGCGCTTGAACAGCACGGTGTCTCCTCCGGCGCCGAGTGTTTTAACAAATGTGCTTGACTCCGAACACTTTCGAAGGGAAGTTCCTTCAGCTACACCAAAGACGAGACCCAAACTCACCCCAAGAAACATGTCCGTGCCCGAGTGTTACTGCCTCCTGAGGTCAGGCTTTCTGGACAACGTCACGTAGACGGAGCCATGGAAGATGAGGTGTTTGTGTCTGGCTACTCTGACTTTGCCTGGGTTTTCGAGGTCCCTCCATGGTGTAACGTGCGTCAGCACCTCATTCCTCCTTCCGGCTGAGTAATATTCCACCTTGTGGTTGTGACGTCCCTTTCCCATCTGTTCTCCAGTTGCTAGATACTCGGGTTGTTTCAAATGTTTGGATGTTACAAATAATGCTGCTGAGGATGTTCGTGTGCAGGCCTTTCTGTGGACGTAGGTGTTGACCTCCTGTGGGCAGGTACCTAACAGTGGAATGAATGGGTCCTGTGATGAAGCTGCGGTCCTCCAAAGAGCTCACCCACGCGGCCGTGGCACCCAATATCTCCACAGGTAACGGGTTGGGGGCTCCAGTTTCTCTCAAGAGTGTCACTGTCCCTCTTACTGACTGCCGTCACTCAAACGAGTAGGAACTGAGCTCTGCATTGGTGTCATATTTGCATTCCCTGATGACTGATGACATGGAGCATATTTTCATGTGTTTATTAACCATTCATAGGTCTTCTCTGCAGAAATGTTTGCTTACATCTTAAAGCCTAGTTTTTGACTAGGCTGTCTTATTATTACTGAGATGGAAGTTTCTGTATATTCTGGATATAAGCCCTTTACCAGATACGTGTTTTGCAAATATATTCTTTTAGTTGGCTGCTTGTCTTCTCATTTTCTTAACGGTTCTTTTGAAGCAGAAAAAAATGTGAATTTTGATAGGGTCTCATTTACCAGTTTTTTAATATTGGACTATGTTTTTGGTATCATATCTAAAAAATCTTTGCCTGATCTAGGATCTTAAAGATTTTTCTCATATGCTATCTACTAAATCTTTTGTTTTAGCTTGTACATTTAATTCTATGATCAATTTTGAGATTTTTGTGTATGGTGGGAGGTTAAAGGTGCAAGTTCATCTTTTGCATGTGGACATCCAAATGTTATGTCAGCATTTGTTAAAAGGTTATTCTTTGCCCCAGTTAAATGGCTTGGCATTTTTGTTAAAAATCAATTTACCATAAATACAAGGATTTCTGAACTCTAAATTCTGGCCACTGATCTATATGTCTTATGCCAACACCACACTGTCTTGATTATTGTAGCTTTATAGTAAATTTTGAATTGGGCAGTGTATCTCCCCGCTTTGTTCTGTTTTCAAAATTGTTTTGGTTACTCTGGACCTTTGAAATTCCATATGAATTTTAGGATCATTCTGTCATTTGTCATGTTCCTGAAAAAACAAACCCAAAAAACCTGCTAGAATTTTGATAGGAATTGCATTGATTCTATAGATTAATTCCACTGTGATCAGAATTAATCCTTTAAAGTTTATTAAGGCTTGTTTTATGACCTACTAGAAAGTCTATCCTGGAGAATGTTCCATATGCACCCCATTCTGTTGAGTGTTCTATAGATGTCTTCCAGGTCCAGTGTTTGACAGCACTGTTCAATTGTTTTATATCCTTGTTGACTTTTTGTCTAGTTGTTCTATCCATTACTGACTGTTCTATCCATTACTGACAGTATGTAGTGAGGTCTCCAGATATTATTTTTTAAATTGTCTTTCAGTTTATCCCTTCAAATCTGAAAATTTTTGTTTCATGTAGTATGTGGTGGTTTTTTAGGTGCAAAAATATTTATAATTGTTATGTCTTCCTGCTCCATTTACATTTTACTCATTATAAAATGTCCCTTTGTGTTTCCAGCAACATTTTCTTTGGTCTTAAATTGATTTTGTCTAATATTAGTATAGATACTCCAAATGTCTTTTGGTCACTATTTACCTGGTATAACTTTTCCATCCTTTTACTTTCAACCTATTTGTGCCTTTAAATATAAAGTCAGTCTTCTATAGATAGCATAGAGTTGGATCTTTGTTTGTTTGTTCTTTCCCCCTAATCCGGTCTGACAACTTTCACCTTTTTATTGGAGTATTTGGTTCATTTACATTTAATGTAATTTTATTGTAGGATTTACATTTGCCATTTTGCTGTTTGTTTTCCATGTCTTGTGGGGTTTTGGTTTTTGTTTTTGTTGTTTCTATATCTTTCATTACCACTTTCTTTTGTGTTAAATAGGTGATTTCTAATATATCACTTAAATGTGTTTTTGGTGGGGTTTTTTTTTTTTTGGTTTTACTCTGTATATATAT